AATCTACTTCTTGTTTCATTTACAGTTTAAAAATGTGGCATCCTGTAAAATTTTTCACAATCTCATAACCTGAGCTAGTGTTAGAAGGAAAGTTTTTTAAAGCAAGTTTTCTATATGTACCATGAACATCTGGCCATTTTCAGAAGGAAGGGTGGAATGTCCCAGTTCTGTCTTTCTGCAGGTCTTTTCTAGCCTTCTTCCCAATGAAAATTAGGTTGATATAGTTACAGTGTCTGTTTCTTTATTCTTGCCACAGTAGAATTGTGAACGTGTTGGCCAATTTCAACTAAATGTGACAGAAAGGTAGAGGTCCCACAGTTTTGAAGTATCTGCAGACTTGAGAGAGATGACAGCAGTGCAGAGGTTAGGGACAAATTTAATGGTCTATTAAGAGTTAAAGCAGGGTGTGAGCTCAGATACAACCTGTGCTGTCCAGGAGACACATCACATATACCCAGCCATGACAATGGATGATTCTATGCATCCATGTAATATAAGAGCTTCCTTGTATTTTACAGTGCAATCATTACCAAGGAAACCCAAGTACTTCTGTGCTAGACATTTTAAGACATGTGAAGTAAGAATCAAAGATAAACTTCACAAAGAAAAGGGCAGAGGGATCAAACAACTTCAGCTGTGACGCGGAATTGAGATGTTTCCAAGTAGTTAGATGATTTTTTGTTTGGTTTTGGGTTTTGTGAAATGGTTAAAATATAAGTAAATTTCTTACTATAAATTGTGTATTTTTTAAAAAAATATTTTGACTGGAAAAGAAAAGAAAAGGGTTTGAAAGAACAAGAACTGGTAGAACGGAATGGATTTCAATGTTTAACTGTGCTGTGAAAGAGCAAAGAGAGAAAAGAGGAAAGAATGCTGAGAATATCATTATAAGCAGAATCAGGACAGTTGGGTTGATGGCAGAGATCTGAGTGGGAGAGCTCCACTTTCAATCTTTTTCCTCCTTACTTGCCTAGCATGGCCAAAGACACAGCTGTTCCAATAAGAGTATTAACTTTTTTTTCCCCCATTTGAATTAACAACTAACAAATCCTTTAAAAAATACTTCTTGAACTGTAACATGGAGAATGTGCAGTTTCTTTATTCCCCCATATTCACCTATAGCTTAATGAAGGAAACAGTAGCCAGTCTTTTATGAATATCCAGATCCAATTGTTCTTTTACAGTAATTATATGAAAATAAATGTCTTTCTTCTTCTGTAAAAGAGGTTCAGTAGCTTATATTTAAGAGAAGTTTAGATCAGCAAGAAACCCAGTATATATGACATATCTAAAGTATTTTTACTGGCAATTCTGATAGTATTAATATTTTTTTGTTTGTGGTACAATTCTACCATGTCACATTGGGTAAAGCAAAATTCACATTTAATATGTGAAGTGGTTGGTAATTTTAATGATATCAGAATTGACTCATCTATAAAAAGAAGCTGGTATTCTGTGTTGAATGTATTATAATTAATAGGCTCAAAAGAGTTATGGCACATGCTCATTTCTTGCTTTTAGTTCATTAAAATAGCTATCTGAAGCTTCATGAAATGTGCAATTTTTGAACAGTCAACATGTTTTCCAGTTTTATGACTTGAAATTACATAACTCAAATGAAACTACGGTGTTATCTCCCTACAAAACTCTTCTGGTTTTCTGTATCAGAACTCCATTGTAGCCAAGATTTTCACAAGGTTTCTTGGAAGATAAAGAAAACATTCTTTCCTTGCACTCTATCCTCACATTTCTTTGATTCCTCTACCTGTGGGGGACAATTCCATACTGTGAGATATAGGTGAGGCTGTAAATCACAAAGGGGATATACTCTTGCTTTCTCATAAATACACCAAATTTAATTTTTCCTTCACAATTCTATTTTATCTGAAATAAATTGTCCTATGGATGATTTTTGTGCAAGATTTTAATAAGGAGGGATATACATATACAGAGCCATCAGGATAAATGGAAATTCTGCAATGTAGTTTATTAACAATGACAGCAAAACAAAAAGCAAAAAGCAAACTTCATGGCACCTTGCAAATCAATCAACACCAGTAAAGAACCCAGATGGATAAACACTGTGGTAGGATGCATCTTCTCAGTAGTCTCACCTGTGCAGTACAGAGGCTACATAATAACATCACAGCTCAAGGATATTTTCAGGTTTCTGAAAGAAATGGAGATATTTTATTTCTCTGAGACATGAGGAATAGGTACTCTAATTTCAAAACTGTACTGTACTTAAGGCGTCTTTCTAGTGACCTTGGTCTCTGTAACTCTTGGAAACACTGAAGAGAAGCAGACATCTCTCTGGAATGAAGTGTACATCCAGAGTAAAATCATGAACAGCTTCTGCCTTTCTTCAGGTTACCATGAGCCTTTTAAGCACATTCCTTCTCCTTTTCCAAGACATCCGACAAAACAAACACAAACATCTGTTTCTGAAGATGGAAATTTATCTCTTTGGTTATTTCTCCCTATCTTCTGCATCCTCTTTGTTTTCAAGGTACCAAATATTTTGTTGAGGGAATTTCTTGCCAATTCACGTGCTTGAATGAGCATGAATATAAAGAGTGCTCCTGTAGAATTCTGTGATGGAAATAGATGGGAATAAAACATCTTCATCACTGTGGTGAACACTGTAGTTCCTAATATTAAAACATAACCCCCTTTTTCCTCTGAAGGTTCCATGAGAAAAGAAAAAATTAAAAGCTAAAGATATGAAGATATGGAAACTGGAGAATCCATACACTCCACCTGCAATTAATTTTATGTACTCCAACACTCTGTCTGAAGGCTCTGAAATCCCTGCCTTCTGGTCTTCTTTTTCATAGAAAACTGCTGAAAATGACTTATTGTCTGCAAGTTTTTAAAAGAGCCTTCATCAGATCATGATTTCAGCAAGCATTGCTGTTGATGCATTGTGAAGGGACAACGAATAGCAGAAAATTGCAAGGAAAAGACATTTAATGTCTTTATGATGCTGGCAATTTTCTTCTTATTACATAGTATCTGTGGTTGAAATTCACACCTTGGGAAAGGCATGAAAGCTAGAAAGAATTCAGCATAAAATTTACAAAGCATGTTTTAACATTTGATTGCAAACCCCAAAACCCATTCTCAGGAAATGCAATTCAATAAAAAGCTAAGAATTTTGTAGGACTTTGTCTCAAAGGACTTTTTGTAGGTCTTTGTCTTGAAGAAGATCCATTCCTTTTAGCTAAGCAGCTATTGACTATTCTGATACCTTCTTTGCAGTTCAGTTTTTATTCACCCGAATCTTGGAAACAGCATGAAGATGAGAGAAACCAAAACACAACCTTGTACTTTAAAAGGCTAGCTCTCAGCAGGTGAGTGGAAAAGCATCAGGCTTTTTGTCCCTCTTAGAGAGGATTCACTCAGAAAATGGATAGAGGCTTATGTGGATCATTCACGTGCAAATAGAGAAGGAGAAAAGTAATGAAAAGAACAGCTTGAAGCAGGGCCAAAACCAAAGTTGATTGTTACAAGTCAATAATAGTGTTATTATCAGCCATGATCCCGTTGTAATGTGAACTGCTGCTAGAGAAAACTCAAAACAGGTAACGGCAAATAATAGATGGTGTTTCTAAACATAAGAAAATGGAAACAAGGACTCTCAACCAGCTGTTCTGGCTATTTTCATCCAAGAGTAGACTTTCAAAATTTTTGGTTTTGCTCATTATTATCACCATTTTTTCTAACACAAGAACTCAGATTCTTCTCCAGTTTAATGCTAAAGCTGCCTTAACAAGCAGCTGTAAGAAGACAATATGCCTGCCTACATAACAGAGATCCTTCTATACAGTAGTAATGGCAACCAGGAAAGTGTTAGGAACTTTCACACAGTTCTTAGTAGTGCTTCAGGGAAATAAACCTGAAGACAATGGCTTGGAAACTTCATGTTTCATAACGTCTTCGTCTTTTTTTTTTTTTTTTTTGCCAAGCAGAGCTCTGGCTCTGCAGTCCTTTTGCAACACTTTCCAGTTTGTGTCTTAGTGGGCAGTTCTCTAGTGAATCTCTGCACTGCAAGTGAGACCTTTGAACTTTGATTCAGTTTCAGAACCAACCAATGCCTTTGGCAGGAGAAATCACAAAACTGGCTGCCACCAGTGACTGTTTTCCTCAGTTTTGACTTCTCTATTTGCTTTGTGTTTATGCCTTCATGTAACAACAATGTCAAAAATGCCAATCGTTTGGTTTTTAAAATTTTAGAAGTTTAATATGTTTATAAAAATAGTAATACAATTAGAGTAATAAAATTTAGAGTTAGGACAATTACAAGACAATAAAAAGCAAAGAATTACGGACCTCGGGGTGCTCTTGGACACCAAGTCATGAAAAGCACACCTTGTGAACAAAGGAATAACCTTAAAAGCAATAGCCTGTTGCATATTCATACATCCTTATGGTTATGCATACATTCAATTCAAAACAAGAACTCTCTCTGTTGTATGTCAACTGTTGCCTTTAATCCCCATGGCGTCTTCGAGTCTGAGCAAGGCCAGAAGAAATTAGCTTCTTCTGATAAGAAAACCATAAATTCCTCTTCTCTGGAAGATTTAGGTATTCCCTCGAAGCAAGTATCTCATTCCTTAAAAAAAAACCCTTCACATAGCAGAGTTTCTATTTTAACATTATGTTGGAACCTAAAATTATATTTAACACACTACTTAAGAGAATGAATACAGCATAACTTTCTAACATTACACATATAATATTCATTGTAACATTTGTGAAAAGCCAATCATAAAATATGCATTTTTCACAAACAACAAAAAAGTAGCATTTTAATATTAATATATTACAGCATTTGGAAATTTTCAGAAGGGCCCAATGACTAGTTTCATGTGACTGTAAAGGTGTATTTAAAACACAGAAATAACACAAGGGATTCCATTAGTTATGCACAACAATTTTAGACTTTTTCAAACATGGTATGATGTCAATTTCCAATGTGTTTTTTATAGTCCGGTTCCACTCTTTCTCTTTGCAAATCAAGCAGACTTTTACCAATCAAAAAAAAAAAACTTGCTGAAAATACCCATGAAGGACAGTGGTCTGAAAGCAAATCTTATCCACTATTAACCCCTAATGTCTGAATAATTATTTAATGGACTTAGACAGCTCTTTTATTCTGAAAGTGGAGTCTTTTCCTTGGGCTCTTCTGGTCTGTAGTCCTCTCCTGTGCAGAAAACAGTAATAAAATGCATTTGTTTTATGAGGTTTAGAAGATTTTGGCTAAGTTTTCCCTTTATCCAAGAACAGCTTCAAATTAAGTGACTTCCTTGATTTTTTACACTTATAGCAAACATTATATATATATGAATGCTATGGTGGTATGATTCTGCAGTTATCAATAGGAAAATTTGAAAAAAATGAAGGACCTAAATGAACTTAAATTTCAATGATTCTGAGGATTATATTTATACCTTACTTATTTATTTCCTTAGTAAGGTGTTCTGACTTTTCACTCAATATCTTTTTATATGGTCTATACACAATTTGTAAGGGATACAGGCAATCATTAAACTGTTCTCACTCTCATTTGACAGAGTTTATACTTTTACAGTAGCAAGAAAATTAGGTGTTAGAATGAATTCTGAATTCAGTTCCATTTGCATTCTCTGTATTTAAATAACCTTGATGATGGCTGAATTTCCTGTCTAGCTATATGATGAATCTACAATATATGATCCCCAATATCTGACTGAACAACTTACAGGAGTTACTCCAACAGCTCTTCAGAATAGACAAAGGCAGCACTGTCTTATATACAGGGAATGTAATGACCAGAATATCACCTGTCTGGGACAGAACCCCTGGGAGGCTTCCAAGTCATTTGGTGGCAGCTTTTTGGATCATTTATGTTCTTGCTTATGAACTTTGTCTCCAGACAGCTGCTTATCCTTATGGAAAGACCTGAAACGGTAAAACTAGTTCTGCAGTGCCCTGTCTGTGTCTGCCTTCACACCGACTCTGCTCTAGCAGATACAGCTTGAAATGAACTTCCTCACATTTTTACAAGAAAGACAGTAAACTCCCTCTCTGCCCAGGATGTGACACAGGGGGAGCAGCAGCAGTGATCACTGGCACCTTGAGGTGATTTTGCAAGGTGAACAAGTGAAATTGTGCTGGATGCCAGAGTACACAAAACTTAACCAAATTACATAAACTTTTATTGTGGCGTTCTAAGGCATTTTTTTTTTAATTCATTGGTTTAAAAAAAAAAAAGTCACACCTTTTGGATGAAAACAAAAAGCTTTAGGAAATAAGTACAATCCAATGAATGTGAAAGAAGTGTCAGGTCAGATCCTGCTAGACTCACTCTCTTGAGGAGGCCTGAGGCATAGGAACAAGAGCAGAGATTTTCAGTAAGCCTCAGTCTCTCACCTGTTAACCTCTAAGCTGAGGTGACACTTGAGGAAAAGGAAGAGGTTTCCATTTAAAATAACTCATCTGCAATAGAATCCACCAGAATGGAACTAAATTATTCAGTCTTAACGAGAAACACAGTTCTCCTTTGGGCTTTTTCACATGAGTTATACTTTGCCTAATATAGTCTTTTCATAGACTATGTGTCACATAGCAGTACATGGAAGTCTTTTTCCCAGTTAACATTATTTAATTATGACAGTCAGAATGAAAACCTAATAGCTTAAAATAATCTTGGACATTGCTCCATGAGTTTCAATTGCATGCTAGAGAAACACCACCTAATAAATTTTTAATAAAGATTTTTTCTTTATAATATAGAGCAAAAATGCTTTAAATTCATAAAATCTTTCCTACGTAGCAGTATTATAATTTCTGCAAGATCACATCGTATTTTTGGTGAACATTAACAGAATATCAATAACTCAATTTTCTTAGTGTAAAAATCTTCTGTGTCCTTCTTACAATTAGTTTTTCATATATCCTTTTGCTCATTCCTAATCAGACAGAATAATAACTTATTCTCAACACAAAATTTATAGTTATTGTACATTGTTTTTTACATTTTTTTCATAAAACTACACCCTCATTCCACAATATGTTCTTTAATGCCAAGTATATGTTATTATAGTTGGTCTTTTTCATCTAAAATGAAATGGCATGATTTCCTAAAACATTTATCATAGACAGATCACATTTCTCTGTAGGGCCACATGGCAGGATTTAATTAATCACTACAGTTATGAACTGTCACTGCAGGCCCCCAGCCATGTAATAATTAGCATGGACTTTATGATTGCAGAAGGCTGATCGATTATTTTATTATTATCATCTTATACTATTTATACTATTCTTATTAAGAAACTCAGTAACCCCTATGGCCAGTCTGATACAGCTTTTACCAAATTGGTCAATCTAGCCAAACACCATCCAGTGTCCAATTAAGAAATCACCCTTTGTTACAAATCCCTATAACACATTCCACATGTGCACAACTGCAGGTGCAGCAAGTGGGGATAAGAATTGTTTCTAGTCTTTTTCTCTGATCTCACAGCCTTCCCCAGGAAAATGCCTGGGAGAGTTTGTGCCTGCTCTCTGTGGCCAGAAGGCTGCTGCCACAATGAACTCCTTTCTAACTTTTTTTTTACAGCATGTGACAAGAGTATAAAATCCTTTCAGAAACTAAACAGCAAAATAATACAAAATAATCCATACTTTATTATACATAATTTACAGCATGCAGCAATTTATATTAGATGTAGAGTGTACCCATAGTAATTCCCTAGTTGACCTAATAAGAGCAACATGACCACTAATAATCTTGAGCTTTATTTCTTAAAAGAAAAAAAAAAAAAAACCACCTCAAAAGAAGTATTGTATTCTCATTAGCTGCACTATAGGCACTATTGATTTCACCTCAAACTTTACAAGAGAACCAGTTCACTGGCTTGAGGATTTTGAAGTCAGCAGTGACAAGGAATGTCTACCTTAACAACATAACTAATGGAGTTTTTGCAACAATGGATAGGAGAGATTTGCAGTGTGGATGACAACATCCAACTAAGTAGCCAGGCTGCTCAGCTGGTCCATGTCTTCAGTTCCAAAGACCTCCTATGCTCATGCTCTTTCACAGTTTCTCTTCTGTGAAAACAGTGCATGAACTGTGTCAGCCTCACTGCCTCACAGGGTGCCTTTTCCTAGTGTAGCTTCCTGGAACTCTGCTCCTAAAGCAAGATGGAAGAAGCCCATTTATCAGTCTTTAATCCATTTTCTTTAAAATAAATGACAGAGAATGAGAATGGTGGCAGAATGCAACTCATTTCTGAGAACTCATTTTGTAAAGTGACTCTGCATTCGCTCATAGACAAAAGTAGGTCAGACACATCTACATATGAGAAGATGGCTCTGCAGCAGAACAGACAAGGAGAGGTATTTTGCAGTTTTTCTCATGAAACAGAAGCTCCACACCCATTCGTTCTTTATGCAGTCCCTCAAAACAAGAAACTTCATAATAACTACTGGAATGATATCTACTGCGCTCATCTCCATGTTTAACAGAAGAAGCTGGTCCATGGCTGTAAATCACAGCTTTTTTTTTAACTTTAGCACCTTGTAATTCTCCTGAAAACATTCATGGCAGCAAATCTCATCAAACACCCAGTGTCCTGCTCACCAGAGGATCTCTGGTGAGAAATATGTTTTAGTGCTTTGAGTAGTGTATTGGTGTTGTGAAACTCTGTGAAATAGATGAGGTGGTGGTAACAGAGTTACAGGACATAAAAATCACCCCCAAATTATTTTGTTTTGAGTAGTACACATAAAAGCTATGTAACACAATGACAAACTACATTCCACTCTTGATGGAAACTCTAAGAAAAATGGGGAGACGGACAAAAATCTGCCCAAGGTATACTGAAGTGAAGCACAGAAGTGTACAAATTGTTTGTTTTTGTGAAAAGGCTTTACAAAGATATTTGAAAAATAGTGCTAAATTCTATTAGCACTATTTACAGATGGATAAGCTGCAGCAGAGAAAAAAGTTGCTTTTCCAGGGCCACCTAAACACAGGACAACAAGAGGGGTAGAAATGATCTTGGGTTTTTTCCAAGTTCCTGCAGGCTCATATTCACCTGCACTCTGAACCTCTGGTAAAGCAAATCTGCTGCAGCTGGAGCCCCCTTGCTGAGTGTGCTTGCAGAGGAAGGACCTGCACTACTGACCTCAGAGTGAGCAGGCAACAGTCTGCATCAGGGTGTATAGCTGTACCCTGCCATTTCAGCACACAATATTTCATTTTAAAGCTCCTCTGTGGATTAGTGTGGGTCTACAATAATTCAAGTACTGCTGCCTGGCTCAAACACTGATTTGATGCTATTATTACTGCATTGTTACTAAGAGAGCTGTTCTGGTTTTATAATGAATGTGACATTTCTGTAGTAAAACACATTTCATCTTGTAATTACTCCAGCCATTATATTACATCTAAAAGCATAAATTGTGCTGAAGAAAATAATCTGCTGCATCATGAAGAAAAATGTAATTTAAAAAAATCACAGGCTACAGCAGGCAGCATAACTACAGTAACAATAAAATCATTTATCTAGCACTAGTGAAGGGAGGAGATTACTGACTCACCATTCCAGCCAAATTCAGTATAGGACAGGGGTTCCATTATCATTTCCTGCACATAACTGGTATCAGGCACATTCGGGCATGGAACACACCAAGTACTGAGTATAGTTAGGGAAAAAAAAACACACAAAGCAAAAAAAAGGAGAGAAGTATTGAAATCTGAAAAAATAAAGAGGACACAATTTTAAATAATGGGTGAAATAAAATTATTTGTCAGCTCAGTGTGAAGCAGTGGAGGAACTGTTGGGGGTCAAGTTAAATAGAAAAGAAGGTCAGAGGAGGGACAAGGAAGAAAATCTGCAGCACTGAAGCTTCAAGACAATTAGAATTATGAAAGGTCAGAGAAGGATAATGCAAGCTGTATCTCTCAGGGAAAAGTAGAAAGAAATAATAAAAAATAATAAGCACAGGAACATAGAGAATACAGGGAGATGACAAAGGAGGAACTCATACTACATCATTATTGCTAGCAATACCCTTATTAATGATGTTAAGTAAAATACCACTGAAACAAAAGGATACAAGCCTCTAAGAAGACCCATGACCTTTATTGTAAATAGAAATTTGTGATATATAAAAGATTTGAAGAAACTATATCCAGTTTAAATGTTGTTTTTCAGTTCATTTTCTCTTACCTACAAATGGATGAGCAGGCTGAAGCTGCAGATCAGTAAATGCCTGATTCAATGAAGGATTTAAACCCTGTTAAGGAAATACACAGCACAGAATATTTGGTTGAGTGAAACCTACAATTACATAGGCATAGTAGTTCACAGCTTATCAGATCTTTGCTAGGTCAATTTGGCAAATAAACAGTGCAATTAGTATCAGTAACGTAGGAGTAAGATGTACTCACCATCCCAGACAGCTAATAAAGTGTAACAAAGTTTAGTTGAAAAATGTTGCATCTAAAGAGTTTTCGAAGCAAAAGCTGAAATCACAGTTGGGACACACTGAATTTATTTTCCATAGTTCTACAGATTTTAAATTGTTCAGTGACTTAAGATGTATTACTGTCTTCCATTGCTATGTATGCATGCTAAACTCCTTTTGGTTTTATTGGAGAATGGAGTAAAAGGACAAGCAGGACCTGGGCCTGCTCCACACTGACAATGTCATTGAGAGGGTTTTCTCAGAGTTTACAAATGTAAGTATGCTTCTTGTTGTAGAAACTCACACTATTTAGCACAGTCACCTCCTAAAGAAACAGGATAAATAGACTAGGAAAAATAATGCAAACATCTCATGGTAACTGGAACCACTGGATACCAAGACACTTAACATGTCTAATAAATTATGCTACAGTAACTTCAGTAAAATAATCTAAACAAGCAAAAAATACTTTTAAATTTTCAGTCCTAACATCATTTTTCAAGCACCTGCGTCTAAGACCATACATTCACAGGAGTGCTGAACACAGAACCAATGTAATAAACATAAACATACCCTAACTGTAAATATAAATATACTATAAATATAAATATAAACATAGCCTACACCTAAATATAAACATAAACATATTTATAAATATAAACATAAATGGAAGAAAGGGATTACTCAGCTTTACAATATCAAAACACAATTGAATGCTCATAGCTGTCTTTGTAGATGTAGGAAATGGTTCACATGGCTGTGGACAAGAACAAAAAGCCATATATAAGCACAGGAGTACTTAGTGAGGTGATGCATTGTAACACGGACTTTGCTTGAGATATGTACAGAAAATCAGGCTTGTCCATTCAGTCATTTACTCCCCTAAAAATAAAAGAAAAAATTGCAAGTTATGTTCTCTTCATCTCAGTTAATTGCTCAGATATTTTACTAATCATGAGGAAGTAAACCAATCAAAGCCAACAGTTATTTGCATTACACATTTTTATATGTTTTATTTCATGTCTACTATGATTTGGGGATATTGAAATTCCACAATAAAACTGAAGGTTTTACTACCTGTTACCTATTATTTTAATTATATATTTTTATATCTAAGTATAGATACACACATACATACACATGAATATACATATATATATGTATATATATTATCATTATTCCATTTAGGTTGAGAAGACATATGTTTTGTTGCTCGCAAGGACTGACCTCTAGTACTTAGAGGAATTTTTGAGCATGGCTGTTGCAATTCATTTCACCTTTAATCCTATTTTGAAGCTGTAAGAAATTCACAATATATCATCTGTACAAAGAAGTACAGGGAAAATACCACCTTAGCAAGAGCTGCAGACTTCTTAGCAATGGTAACAATTATTGAGAGGAAAATTAACCCAATCTGTCTTTTATACCATGTTGAACTTGCAAATCTGAAAGTCAAAGAGGAAATCAATATTTCTAAAGCGAGCCTCTTTCATTTAAGACTAAAGATACATACTGTTGAATTCCCACAATGGCACTTCTAAAGAGTTTGTTGGAAACACAAAATTTACAGTGCTACTGACAACCAAAAATTACAGTAATCATTCTCTTTTGCATTAGTTAAAAGGAGAGGCTCAAAGTATGAGTCAGGTACACTTTTCAAACAGGCACAAATCATGCTTTTAGATGGTGACCTCTGAAAGTTACATTTATAGGTAGACAATTAGCCACTTGCATTCAGGAGAACCTGATTTGTGCTTCCATACAGATGGATTCCCTGTCTTCTTTATGTAATAAAATATTGAAGTTCGCAGGGTAACATAGTCACGCAATTTACAATATATGGGCAACACATCATTAGAAGTCATCAGAACACTGCATAAATAACTACTCCAGACCACCCCATCAGGAAGAAATGTTCTGTTTAATTCCTTATTTTTCCTTAAAAATGAGAAAGAATATAGTTTCCAGTAACGGCAAAATAATTGGAGTCTCGGTTTTGCCCTGCATCCTGGAGATCCCCTGTCACTTCAACTGCCTTCCAGACCAGCATGTCCTGGAATAGTTCCTGGAATAGTAGCATGTTATATATGTGGTATTCAAACAACTTACAGAGGCAGCATACAATTTTTATTTTCTGTTGGAAATTAACAGATTTCTTTCCTTCTTCCCTTATTTGCTACATGCTGAATTAATGGAAAATGAGAAATAAGAAAGAAGAACACAAGGTCTGACACCATTTTCACTTATAAGAGATTAACAACCTGGATGGATAACATCAAAGCACCAGTTTTCTTCTAGTAGTTCATCTGATTTTTGTTTACTGAGTTATTCATCCAATATGTTCAAAGTCCATTTAAAAATACAGTCCTTAAAATAAAATTAGCACATGCTTCAGCAGGGAGCAGCCAGTCCTTGTCAGTCCCTGTCATAGCAGAGAACATCTGAAGTTACTATTCAGCCATGGAAAAGCTTGTGAAGAAAAGGGAGAAAGAAACACATAAGAAGCCAGGAAAAAAAAAAAAAAAAAACCAGGACAAAGAAGTTAAGGGGGAATAAAAGTGAGCATCTCACTGTTCTTAAACCAGCTTATTTCTTCCACAGCAGTTTTTACCTAAAAGGCAAGAAAGGAAGATGAATTGGAACACATATGGTAGGGTATTCAGAGATGGTCATTCCTTCTGTTTAGTGTGACTTACACAGGGGCAGAGTATTAACAGCTTTTGCAAATGAGAGACTTAACATTTAAAGATCAATACAAGTGTGAAAGCACACGTAAAGGAGGAACCTATTAAAAAAAATCCATTAAAGACGATCAATGATGATGTACTTGTCATTCTGCCTTTATATATTTTTAGTCCATGTTCTCCTGCAAATCTCTTGTACCCAGTTTTACCCTGATTAGTTGGAAAAAAAGGCAATTAAAATCTGACAAAAAATTCTTCCAATAAAAAAGCAAGTTTCTCATGAAATTATGATAGTATCTTTCCCCTGAAACACAAGGATATGGAATAAAAAAAATTGGTCATAGATTTCTGTGAAAAACTCAAATGAAATTTGCACAGTGACCAGTCAATAATTTTTGACTGGAGAAGAGGAAAATGAGACGCAGCTGTTACTTTACTTATGTTATCATAATATAACAAAAGACTTGCAACATCTTGTTTCACAGAACTGAAAATACACCTTTTAATCTGCCACAACTATCCTGTTGACTGGTGTGTTTTCTCCAAGTAATACTGTCTGTGGCAGAAGTGGGCTGCTTCCAAAGTGTGATTTATCTACTTGTTTACTGAAGCACACACTGATTTCCCATGAGAACAGTGAAGAGCTGTCAGTTCAGTTTATTTAACAAAACTTCTAATTGCTCTTAATTTCTGTGTAAGCATAAATCTTGGAGAAAATATTAACAGGCAATTTCCATGCACAGAACATTAAAAATGTCCAGTGTTATCAACAAGAACAAGCATCTGGCAGATTTTCTGCATCTATACGGGACTGTATATCAGTCAGCAAACTGTGGGAACATGAAGTACTTCTTATTCATTTTTACTTCACCTACAAATGACAACTTACCAGAAAGCTTTGGGTCAGAGATCTGCCCAGAGTGTCACCAAACCATGACGTTCAGCAGAGTGAGACTGCTTTTTCTGTGGTGATAGCTCTGCATCCACAGAGAGTACAGATGTTAAGAATCCTTATTGTTTGAAGACTAAACTGTAGTACCAATTTCACAGATCAGTCCTATTTATGCAATGTTCATTGTTTTGAGAATTGATTGGGGTTTCATACTTCACATTCAGCTGTTCCAGACTGAGAAGCAAGATGTATTCCATTTCCCATTTGTATGGCAGTTGTCTTCTGTTGAGTGAGCAGTTTTCCTTGTCTCCCTCCGGGGAGACATCTGCTGATAATGGGATGTCACTATTGAATGTCACTGCATGACTGATAAGAACTATAACATCCCATTGTGAGATGCTCCGCCCAGAGGGAGGAGCCAAGCATCCCTAATTGAGGAATATAATCTGAGTTTTGGGGACATCAGAGGCAGCCTTTCCACTGGTTCCCAAGAGGAACAGCTGGGGTTTTCCACTGGACCTTCAGAGGAAGACTACACCCTTCTACAGGATCACTGCTCTAATAGAACCACATCTGCCACTCCAGGAGGACTGCAGCCATTCCTATTTGGACCTGCCAACACACTGACCAAAAGGGTGTCAGGTTGTATCCTGACTCTGTCAGTGATTTTTCTTTTGTATTATTGTATGTATTTTGTTTCTTTTCCTTTTTCCTAATAAATTGCATTTCTGACTTGGAGTCTCTCGCTGGTTTTGCTTTCAAACCAGAACATCAGCCTAAAAAATTCTGTCTTTTGTCTGCTAAATTATTCCATCAAATTGTGAAAATCAGTTTATTTACTCTGACCCTGACACTGCACAAACTTGTTAATATTTGTGCAGCTTTATATTTTCTCCATTCTTTTTGAAGTCAGAGTTTACTGTGCTGGGCACTCAGGTTGCAGTGGGAAATCATGACCAAAGAGTAGTTCTTGTTGCTGTCTATTTTCTTTTCCAGTCTGAGTGATACAAAAGCATCAAGGACACACTGATATTTTAACTACTGGTGTCCAGCAAGCACTACATCTTAGCTTTGGGCAGCAGAGCAAGCATGAGTGAAGGAACCACTGTTATCTCTCTGGTCTTCTTTTACCCTACTTTCCTTTCTGAAAACTCCATTACTTGGTCCATCACCTCTCCTTTTTGCCCTGATTCATGCAGGGAGGTTTTGTTTCCTATGCCCAGAGAAAGGGGCCTGTGACCCCAGTGGCTTCATCCCATTGAATGCAGTAGTGTAGATAGTTTTGCACCCCCTGCCATGTTTAATTCACTCATTGCCACTGTTTTCTCTCCCTGTGCTGATGCCCTCCCTCCAAGGAGGGCATCAGCTGATTCTGTGGCATGGCACACTTCCTCTGTGCACATAACTGGCACAGGCACAGCCAGGGACACTCCACTGTCACTGCTGCATGTGCCTTAAAACACAAACTATTCCACTTTGAAAGTTGCTTGGAGATTCTAAATTGCTTTTTTCATCCTTTGGGATGAAAAGTTCTATATCAGTGTATTATTATTAATGACAATAAATTATTCTTGAGGCAGTGAGGCTGCCTCATTTCCTATGGGTTGAAATGAGTAAGGACTTTCCCACCCAAAATATAAAACACTAGCAGATAGAGCTTGCAGGGCAGCCTGATGTTTCACTGCCATGTACATGGTCTGCTTGCTGAAATGGCCAGAGAAGAAGGTGCCCTGAAGAGGAGATGCACAGGGCTCCCAGGTGACAGGGCTGGTGCTGGCCCCGTGGCTCACTGATCATCCTTGCTGGGAGCTGGCTGTACCAACTCCCTCCTGGAGAGGCTTAGTGAAGTCCTGGCTTGGTGGTTGAAACATTTCTATCGTTTGTTTTTCTGGGATGCCTTCCAGTTGCTCTGAATTGGCCCCTTGTTTGCCCACCCCCCTGCCTGCACGTGGTCCTGCAGTGCTCCCCAGGCCTCTGCTGATCACTCACACTGCTTGGACAGGGGTGGTGTGAGGACAGCAAATGATTACGAGTCAAATTTCAGT